GGGTTTCTCAGCCTTAGCAACTTTGTAACTCCATAAATATATGAACAACCAAGGGAAAATTGCATAGCCCTGCTCAACGTTGAACCATTCACTAAAACCTTCCATTTTTTGTCACGTATATTTTACTTTGTTTGTTTGTTTCACAAATGTATATGGCTACTATCTAACTATCTACTATCTAACACAGGGTTTCTCAGCCTTAGCAACTTTGTGGACTTCCACACATCTTAAAGTTGCTAAGGTTGAGAAATCCTGTGTTAGATGCATCCAGCCCCATTCAAAACCCAAAACAGAGTTTCTGGGATGGTGGAGGGCATCTGAAGCAGAGGGGACCATGATCCAGTCTGGGGGGAAAAAATGGGGAAAATTCCTTCATAATGTCTTTTCTTGGGATTTAGCAGAAGGGTGGGAAATCAGGGAGGCTTCAGACTGCAAAGAAGTGGATGAAATGATGAATGACTGGATGTCAACAGACATATTTTGGCTACCTTGTCACTCACTGAGAGGTTTCTTGAAATTCTCTTCTCATTTGAAATAAGTTTTGAAAGCAAATTCTCTTTCACCAAACTGAGTGAAGGCTGCTAGGGAAAAAAAGGCAGATTTTTTTTTTTCTGCCCGGGTCTAACACAAAATAAATCACACTGCTGGTTTCTACAAATAGGTAAAATAAAGATATCAGGGTAGTTAAACTGAGGTCATTAATCTAGCACACAGGAAGCTGAATTCTTGTATGGGGAAAGTTGCTAGCAACCAAGGAAAAAAGACCCTGGAAAGGACAGGGTCAAGAAGGAGAAATATTGTACTTTCATTAATCCTTTTTATATTTGTGTATTAAAAGAATGGGACTGGATGCAAAGAGCACATAAGACTATAATTTCTACTTTCTCCTTGAACAAAAACTAAGCCCCCTTGCAAATCATCTACATGAAATTCTAAGCTAGTGATAAATGTCACTTTTTTCCTGGACAGTTTTGATGGGGTCCCCTTCCTTATGCATGACAAGACTCTAAAAAGAACCACCAACATCAAAACTCTGTTTCCTACAATCAGGAACAAAAAAGCCTCCTTTTTTTCCTGGCCAGCTTTGCAGCTACTGAATGCCGGACAGTGGTTTTTCAAGGTAGGGTTGTTTGTAATTGGAATCAAGAAGATCCTTGTCTTTCTCTACCTCATTCTCCAAAGACTTTGGAACAACAGAAGAGAATCTGTGTAGCTCAGGGTTGCACTGTGGAGTCCTTGGTGCTCTCTGAGCTTTGTGGTTTGCTGGCAGACGTTTCATTACCCAGCTAGGTAACATCATCAGTGCAAGCTTTTGAACAAGCTGCAACAGATTCCTTACAACAGCTTTACAAATGTTGTACAAAAAAGGGCTTTGTTTGGTCAACCTATCTGGCCGAGCTGCAAGCTTCGTAAAGATTTGGGTCCTCTTCCGTGCTGAGCCAATGACTTGGGGTTGCTTAAACTCATTGGTTGGGTTGAGGTTGGTGTAGAGTGAAGAAATGCAGTATGGATTGAGATGACTTTTCAAACATTTACCAGATTGGTAAATAGGCATAACTCTCCGGGGCACTCTTTCTTCCCTAAAAGTGTGCTCAGTGGTTGCAGTTGGTATCTTTTTCGTTTCCAAAGGATATTCCAAGCTGATTTTTTTAGCTGAAACAGCAACGACACCACCAACCTAGTTCCTTCCTGATTCCTCTGCATTTTATTTTGTAGAGAAGGCCATTCCCTAACATGCCCCTGCTCTCAGAGGCAGATGAAAAATGGGCGAAGAATCAGAAAATTTACAAGTTCAGTGATTTCTTGTCTCTGGCTGACAAGGCGAACAAAGTGGTAATCTTTGATCTTTACCGCCCACCTCTGAATCATCCCTACAGGGATACTTTCCTCAATAGGACTTTGGACGTACTCAAAAATGAATCTGGGATTAAAGCTAATTTGGTAAGAGACTTTTCTTATGATGCTGCTTCTCTTCATGATATAACTTTCCTCTATCCTCCCTAGAGAAAGATTGGGGCTTTCAGCTTCCTTCTTACCTCTCTTATCTCACTTTTTCTCTCAACACACTTCAATAGCTATCTTATTAACAGGGGACAATCACAAATCCATCCATTTTTGGCCTTTGTTTGATTTTTCTGAGCAGAATGCATTCCATCTAGCCAACGGGTTACTGTACATGCTTGGTCCTAGTATAGCCACCAGATAGCTGTGTAAATGACTTGCAAGCTATTCTCAGCACTCATCAAGAGTTCCTTGTCAGTCCGGAGGGAAATTACTCCAAGCTTCAGTGCTTTGATTAATGACTTTGACAATGGGGATCATGCATTAAATTTACAGACCAGGCAGATTCAGTTGCATCATGGCTGATACCTTACAACAGTGTTTTTCAACCTTGGCAACTTTAAGATGTATGGACTTCAACTCCCAGAATTCCCCAATCCACACATCTTGAAGTTGCCAGATTTGAAAAATACTGCCCTAGAAGATTGAAACAAGATTCAAAATCTTTATAGCTTAGGGCAAAGTGGGTGAAAAAAACCCAGACCAAAATGTAATAGAGATGAGCACAGAATATTTCTATAAGAAAAAAAGAAATCCAATGGAAAATATAGGGATATCTGGCTTGCAATACAGATAGTCCTCACTTAACGACCATTCATTTAGTGATCATTCGAAGTTACAACGGTGCTGAACAAAGGGACTTACAACCGGTCCTCGCACTTACAACCATTTCAGCACTCCTGCAATCATGTGATCACAATCCAGGCATTTGGCAACCAGCTCGCACTTAGATGGTTGCAGTGTCCCGGGGTCATGTGATCATCATTTGTGACCTTCCCAGCTGGCTTCTGGCAAGCAAAATCAATGGGAAACCACCTGATTCGCTTAATAACCACAATGATTCATTTAATGGCCACAGTGATTAGCTTAATGACCACTGCAAAAAAGGTCATAAAATTGAGTGTGACTTGCTTAACAACTTCCCTGCTTAACAACAAATTTTCCAGTCCCTATTGTGGTCGTTAAGTGAGGACTAGCTGTAGTACTTACAAAACGGAGTTTGGACATCACTCTGTAGATGATGTGTAGAGTGATGTGCTTGCAATCTTAGGTTGCATCAATATGAGGGTAGTTTTCAGAGTGTGGGAAGTGACGGTTCCACTCTATTTGGCTTGGAGCAGATTCACCTCTCGTACTGTGTCTAGTTGTAGAAATTACATTTTAAGGAGGATTCAGAAAAGTGGCATGGGTTTAGAGAAGGGTAACCAGGCTGATGTCAGCCCGCCTAGGTAGACCAGACCAGGAAATCAATAAACTATGTTTACTGAGATTGGCTACAATAACAGAATCTCCAAGTCTGATTGTGTGGTATCTCCTCCTCCTTCTTATACTGCAGTGAATTAGGGAGGTGTCTGCCTGAACCACTTCTGAAAGTCATCTGGATGTTCCAAACTTAAAAAATGCTTCAGTCCCTCTTGCCCATGCAGTAGTTTCTGTGCATCTCCATCAAGCTTGTGATCCTTATTCTGTACACTTGATAATAGGACTCGGGGGTCTTAAAATGAAAGATTTATGGAATGGGATATTCTAGCCTTGAGGGAAGACTGAGAGGGGACTTCAAATATCTGTGAGTCACACAGTAGAAGGCCTAATACTCTTTTTTATCATCAAAAAGATCAGGGCATGGAATAATGGTTTTAGATCACAGGAAGACAGATTCTGGTTCAATGTGAGGAGAAGAGTAAATTTGAAATTAGTACCAATTATCTAGAGATGTTGGGCTCTCTTTTGCTGGATATGATCTGATTGGATTTCTGAATTGGACTTCATAGATAATACTCCATGGAAAAATTGTTTGGGTGTGTAATAAAGTTCCATTTGTTGTGCATGGCTCTTCATGGCCATCTAGAAAATGCTTGATAGAAAGATGAGAGACTATTTTAATTCTAGGATTGCTCCTCTGCAAATCCCAGGTCCTATGGCTGATGGATTCAGGTAGAACTTATGTTCAGTCCGTAGCTCCCGGCTTCCAACACACTACGTCTTCCCTAGAACCCATTGAAGATCTCCAAAAACGGAATATTGTGAAACTCAACTTGGACTACAGAAGGATGGCTACTGTAGATATTCGGTAGGTTGTCATGGCAACATTGATTTTCCCTCCCCAGCCAAAGGGAAAACAAGGAATCTTGTATCCAATGCCACGTTGGAGTATCAGTTTCTTCGTGATGTTGTAAGTCATCTAAGAGGATCTCATGATGCTTTCTTGATAGGAAATATGCCGAAGCCAACATCACCACCAACCTCTGGGTGGTCAGCGAACCGTGGCTCTACTCCTTGGCGTGGTGCTACGGAGCTAAATCGGTAACTACCAATGCTGTGCATGCTCTGGGCAACATTAGCCAGCCTTTCTTCTTCTTGGTGAGTAGAGAAAACATCTCTTACCACATGGAGGTGCCCCCACTTCCAGTCATGGACATAAGGGGTTGCCCATTCCTGCTTTGGGAGGACAACTAGTGTGTTACTTGGAGCTCAAGGCAGCTGCCAGTTGAGCAGTGAGAATGAGATTAGATGAGACTCATGGGGGAAGGACCCTCAGGTTTTGTAGGTCAAGCTTGGCGCTTTGAATTGGAACCAGAACCAATAGCAATTATGAGAGACTGACAGCCTCTTGGCACCAAGCTTCTCAGCTGCTAACCCCATTACAATTATTTGGGGAAAATATCCCAACTCCTGAGGTGGTAAACATGGAGTGTGGTTTATACAAAGAATGATTGCAGCAGACTCTGCCTTAATCCAGTCTTTTCAATCCTGGACTGCTTTGTTCTACTTTCATCCTGGGGATGAATAATTCCAGTTTGTCTGCTTTTCTGTTACAGACACCTAAGGAATACAGGACGATGTGGATTGTAACCGACTCTCTGGCGCTTCTCTTCATATTTCTTATCTTTGGTTTTCACTGGTAAAGTCCAACGCATCTAATGGTTTGTGCTTTGGACGTGGTGGGGCGTGAGATGTTGCAGGGTCGTCAGGGGTGGGTGAGTTGAAAAGGTCAAGATGGCGGCTGCAAAGCGCAATCAAACCCTTGTCAGGTTTTTTACATACGTCGCATGTATGATGCACCTTAAAAAGGGGCATGGTTTTGATTGTGAGGTTGTGATGGTCCTCTTGACTTCATAGAATCATAGGACTGGAAGGGGCTTGAAGGTCTTCTAGTCCAACCCCCAGCCCAAGACAGGAGTCCTCATATCATCACGGACAGATGGTTGTCCGATCTTTTCTTGAAAACCCAGCGATGGAGCACCCACAACTCTGGGAGGCCAGCTGTTCCACTACTTAATAGTTCTCACTGTCAGGAAATTCCTCCTTATTTCCAGGTTGGATCTCCCTCTGACCAACTTCCACCCATTGCTTCTTGTCCTACCCTCAGGGTTATGGAGAATTAATTGACGCCCTCTTCCCTGTGGCAGCCCTTCAAGGATTGGAAGACTGCTATCATGTCTCCCCTCAGT